ATTTCAAGCCTCAAGACCTTTCACATTTCTTTCCACCAGCTGTTCAGCATTTGATGCAAGAAATAAGATCAAATTAAGTATATTGGACAAACTTATTCGCAGTCATCTGCTTTATCTGCCTGTTCTTTGTATTTTGTAGTGAAAATAAGTGGTTCGTTTCTAAGTAAAGTCCCAAAGATAAAGCATTACAAATATTGTAGTTACATGGAGTGAAAACACATCACCCTGGACTATGAGTAGCTAGCATGCGTGCGGTGTAAACAACACTCTGATAATGGCGCAGTAAAATCAGTGATTTATAAATTATGGGGATGTTGTGGGACTCAAGAAAACATTTTCAAATGAAAACAATATTTTTGGATAATGAAGTTTCGTGCTATGAACTTTCGTACACATTTCCGCTGTACGGGCATTTGCTTTGACTGACAGCTGCGGGAGCCAATAAAAAGCCTCAAATTCAGCCGTCGACCAATAAGGAACGCTGGGGGTGGTTGTTATCAAGTCGTAAACGGTTAGTAACAGGACAAGCAGGTAAGTAAGATTTTGTCTTGTTATTCTCTCTAAATTAATGAACGCTCCGCTTGTCAGGGAAAAAAACACTCATTTAGTTAAACGTTCGGCTGTTCTATTTGTGTAGGGGAGATTTTTTAGCACACTTTTCTGTCAAACGTGCTAAAAACGGCAGTCATTGAGAAGTCAGTATGGGATCGGGAAGCAGTCAAGCTAGCGAGCATTAGCTTAGCCTGCTAGCTAAGTTGGCTGTTATTGGCCAGCGTTAGCTCACTACGTCGGTGTAGCCTCAAACATTAGCTTGGCTAACACTAGCTTGAGAGAAAGTACTGTTAATTGTATCACGAAAATCACTGGCAGTGCATTCTCTGACATGATAGTCAATAACGAACCCCCTCCACAAGTTACTTTTAAAATTTCCAAGCTCAGTGTTAAAATTATTCAACATCTAAAACTTTTTCATTATAAATTTGCAGTGATAACGTTCGTGTAGGTAATAACGTTAGCCGGCTAGCGTTAGCTTGCCAGCTGGACGTAAAAATCCCCGAGAGTCACACCGCTGCCAAGTCAGTTGTCAACTTTAGTCACTGAGCCTGGCTCCGTCACGAAATCTTTAAATATGATTATTGACTAATGTTTGTCTCTTGGTTCTTTTTGTTTTTAGGTGTAGTGCTATTTCAAATTGTGGTAACCGGAACCCTGGCCCCTTGGATTACTGAGTGGAGTATTTCAACAATGGAGTTAAAGGTATTCCTAAAAAGTATTTATTATTATTTAAACGTTGGTTTTTATATTTGTGTGTTTCTGTCGGACCCGGGGGAGCGATGCTCTCGACCTGTCCTAACCTGTGGTCATGGGCTCTGAGGGGTGACCAAAACAAGAATGAGGTTGCGGACACAAGTGGCCGAAATGAGAAGCCTTTTTTCGGGTGCCTTTGCTCACTCCGACAGAAACAGCTGCCCTTTCGCCTGGGAAGGAGTCACACGATGTGCATCTAATTAGGATACACACCATCCATGTGGAAGTATTTCAGACAACAGGCGTATCCAACTTGGGAGGAGACCCAAAACATACTGGATGGATTACAAATCTGGCAAGCGTGTGGACGCCTCTGAATCCCCCAGGAGGAGCTGGAGGATGTGGCTTAGGATGTGGAAGTGTACATTTTGTATAGCCTGTTGCTATTATGACCTGGAACAAGACAAGAAGATGGATACCTTTTTTAGCCTTACAGCAGACAAGGAGCAGGTCAATGGATAACTTTCAAAAACATCGGCTAAATGATCCTTTTATGTAGATTTTGATATAATTTTCAGCACAGGTGGATAGACAGTTGCTCACTCTCTCTCACTCACTCATTCACTCACTCACACACACACACAGACTGATAATTACTTATTTATTATGCATGTCTACTCTGGGAGTCTAAAAATGCAGGGAGGCAATGCTAAGTGTTGTGCATTCATTTGCATTAGTGTTATACAACAGTGTCAGTCACAAGCATTGTCTGATCAGAGGCACTGAACCCATATATATCCACACCACTTATATAAACAATCATGCAAAAAATTGCAACAAGTATTATTTTTTTAAAGCTGGGGCTGGGTTTCGAACTTGAGTACTTATTTGGTACAGAGTTATGTAAAGTACTGAAGGCTGGCATCAAATTTGTAATTTTGTATTTTCCTTATTATTTGATCAGGTAGTTCCCAATTTCAATCAACATTTCGCATCTTTTTGCGTGTCTGTTAATGCAAGGTTCTGCTTGTATTTAGACAACATTTAACATGAACTTTGCTTCTTTTGTTAAAAGGGTTTTGTTGAAGAACCCCCCCCCTCCCCGTATCAGAAATTTAAACAATACCCAACCCTATTTAATAATTGTATGTACAGTTTTGTTGAGACTGTGTCAGACATGTTTTTATATAACTCTGAGGCTGCAGTTTGTGGTGGTGGTGTACTGCATTATAAACTAGTATATTGTTATATATTGTTTTAATCCACTGCAATACAGCCTTAAATGACAAATTACTAACCTCTGACAAAGACTAAACAAAGAGAAAGTGCACTATATTGGCACCTTTGCTTTTATGTCCACACTTAATCCAGTAAAACTCATTTGGTGTTACCCCCACTCCCCCTGCTCTTACACAACCTTTGGCATTATATTTTGGCTTTGGTTGCATTTATCCTGTAGAGAAGAGCTCCTTCATGTGGCCAGTGGCTGTACCTTCACACAGGTTGTTGAAGTGGTGGGCGATCTATTTCCTGTATAATGTGCCGTGAGCCAGGCAGTCCGGAAAGGGGCGATCCCCTCTCCAAAACAGGGACCATTGTGAGTCATTCCCAGCTATTATTATTAGAATTCAGCTATTTATTGGAGCAAAACCTTAATGTATAGCTGAATCAGTAATTATCTGTGTAAATGCTGGACAGGTGCTTCATGTGGATAAATATAGGTAGTTAAACACATGATGACTTAAAGCAAAATGGGATATTTACTGTACTTGTGGTGGAAAAGAGTCCTAAATAGCACTAAATATAAAAGTTGCAGCACCTTTTTATATAACAGGCTGTATATCGAACAAGTGATCCATTGACATTGTGCTACGTTTTGGAAGACAATGCCCTCCTGTGGTATCTTCTTTTGAGCTTTTATATTGTTTCATATCTTCCCTTTACTCGCAAATACAAAAGAGGGAGTGTAGTGAGTCGAGCTGCATTTTTATTATTACAAGAATGCATCTATTTATAAGAGGACATGATTAATGTATAGCTAAATCAGTTATCTGTGTAGATGCTGGACATGTGCTTTATGTGGATAGTTAAATGCATGAGGACTTAAAGCATAATGGGATATTTACAGTAAACATCCTCAGCACTGCTCCGGTGATGATAGTTTATTTCTGTTTACCATTTTTCACAATTGATTCTTTATTAATGTATATTGTCTGCTATGTAGCAGAACGGAGTTACAAAACTCAATTCCACTCTATAACTTGTTAAATTGGGACGATAGACCTACCTACCTTGTAAATAGCAACAAAAACCTTGGAAAATAGCACTAAATATAACGGTTGCAGCGTCTTTTATAACACCCTGTATATCTAAAAAGTGGTACATTGACATTGTGCTATTTTTTTGGAAGACAATGCCCTCCGGCGGTATCTTGTTTTGAGATTTTATATCATTTCCTATCTGCCCTTTACTCCCAAAATACAAAACGGGGAGTAAAATGAGTCAAACTGCATTTTTATTATTGCAAGAATGCAGCTTTTTATAAGAGAAGATCCTTAATGTATAGCTAAATCATTTATTATCTGTGTAAATGCTTGGCATGCGCTTTATGTGGATAGCTAAACGCACGAGGACTACTGTTTCTTTGGTGGAAACGAGTCCTAAATATAACAGTTGCAGCGTCTTTTATAACACCCTATATATCTAACAAGTGATACATTGACATTGTGCTATGTTTTGGAAGACAATGCCCTCCTGTGGTATAGAGCTTTTATATCGTTTCCTATCTGCTCTTTACTCCCAAATACAAAACGGGGAGGATAATGAGTCATTCCCAGCTCTTATTATTATAAAAGTCCAGCTATTTAGAGGGGCAAATCCCTCATGTATAGAAAAATCAGTTATCTGTAAATGCTGGCCAGGTGCTTCATGTGGATAGTTAAAGGCATGAGGACTTAGAGCATAATGGGATATTTACTGTACTTGTTGTGGGAAATGGCACTAAATATAACCGTTGCAGCACCTTTTATAACACCCTGTATATCTAACAAGTGATACATTGACATTGTGGTGTGTTTTGGCAGACAATGCCCTCCTGTGGTATCTTCTTTTGAGCTTTTATGCCGTTTCTTATCTGCCCTTTACACTAGTGGTGAATTTGAGAACTGCCTCCCGCCTACCAGCCAGCAGTATACGCACACACACACACACACACACAGAGCCCTCCTATGTTTGTCAGACTCAAATCCGAGGGAGAGGAGCTAGCCGCCATTTTCTAAGCGTCTCTCCCTAAAACGCGAGAAAAGGGCTCACGACGAACTGCCATCTGGATTACCTTTCGCTCACTGAGAATTGGATTTTTCGGTAAAGGATTGCGGTGAAATCGCCTACGTTTGAAGTAATTTGGAGTAGAAGGGACTGTTTCACGGCCTTGTCTTTATAATCGCGGTAGCGGCGAGGCGAGCTAGCTGGCGAGAGAGAGCAAGGTGTAGATCGTTGATTCGCCCATTGCCTGAATCCGGAACGAACCCCGAGCGGCTCTGTGAACTGGGCCTTTTTTGGCAATCTGGTTGCATTTTTTTGTTGGATTAATTAATGGCAGAGTGATCGATTCAAGTCGCGTTTTTGTGTTCGCACCCTTTGGTTTTTTTCCACTAAAACTGCAGGGGATTGTTGCCGAAATTCCCTCGGATAGTGCAATCTCGTCACGTGGTAGGTTCCTCCTTTTTCTTTGTTAGCGAGCTAGCTAGACTGTCTACTCCCAACTTCTCAAGCTTTTCACATACTGTGCATTAACGCTGCGTACTATTTTACTACCCACCAGCTAGTGTGCTCAAGTAAAGGCAAAGCACGGTCATCGTACATGTACAACAACAGGCCGCTTGTGTTTATTTCCTTTAGTCTAATTGCAATGCAAACCATGTCTCCACTCCGCAGTACGTCTTAAAGCGTTGTTTAAAATAAGTTGTGATCCACAAGGCGTAAAAGGTGTCCAAATATACATCGTGATGTTACAGGAGCTTGATTTAACTCTGACGTTAATGCACGTGTCGCCGTGGCTTTTTAACGTGTAATATTATTATTGCTCTGGGCGTTATTGACTTAAAAACTGTGGGTGAACGTAGGTTGCGTAGTCAAGTGACTAAAATGTTTACCTGCCTAACGAGGTTTGCGTAAAGTAAAATTAAAAACAGAAATAACCAAGTCGTGCAACTAAAAACGAAAGCTATAACCTGATATATATAAAATGCGATGAGGGTTTGTAGCGTTTCGCTGCAGCTGGCTTGCGAGCAGATTGTGTTTCTTATATCAGCAGCTTTCCGGAGCTAACGTTAGCCAGCGCATTAATTTCCACGCAGTGTGTAACACAAAGTGACGGCGTTTAGCGAGACATTTATCTTGCAGGTTGTTGGTGGACGTTTGGTAGACGCGATGATGGGGTTGCAGATTTATTTATTTATTTATTTTTGGATGATACGAGTAGACAGACACACCGATCGTATACGTGGTCTGCGCGGAAGCTACAGATAATTTTACGATTATGAAATAACGTTATTACACTTGTACGCTCCTTGGACACAGGCGCCAGCCTCCCTATTATTTAAATGTGCAAATGTTTTGTAAACACCAGGAAGACATTTTGGTGATTACGTTATGCTTGGCTAACGTTGGATGTGGACATTTTTTGTCGCATCTCTGGCTAGACAGTTTATAGAAACCTGGTGCTGTAATGCGTGTGAATTAAAGTTACGCATTCACTAACGTTACTTAATTAATTTCCTCCCTTGTAGCATGTTATGGTCGGTGTGTTTGAAGCAGAATGGGCGGTTTTAGGGAGATGAATTGCATTGCATAATCTGCTTCGGAAATACCAACATGGCGTAGTGCGCGCTGACTAGAAACTGCGGTGAAATACTGAGCCCCCATTCATCTGACCTGCAGACGATACGCGGAGACGCAGCCCGCTTTTATCCTCTTGTATTATTTGAAAGGAGGCTTTTTAAAAAAGTGTCATATACAGCCGGTCCGTGTGAATGTCATGTTAACGCTGAAACCATACATCAGGGCGTTTTGTTCTCTTTTTGCGTGTTTAATTTGATAATCTATTTTGCTGGGAATATTATTTGGTAAATTGGAAATGTTTAATATGTACTGCTGAAATTGACACAGGAACCTTGTCAGGATGACATCATGTGCTTTGGACTAATGCTGGGGCCTAAATCCACCTACTTACACTGCCTGTGTTGAACCCTGCTGCACACTGACTTGCCAGGGCACATGTAGGGCAGTGGGGTTTGGACAATTTGCATTGGCTTTTCCTGTTTCTTCCTCTCAGAATTGAATTCCAAAGCTTATTCCATAAAGAGGAGCCTTGTAAGTAAATGACAATGAAGGCTTGTTCACACAAGCATGGGTGTAGTGGGAATTATATATTGGGCTGGGATGTAGCTCAGATGTCTGCAGTTATTGCATCTTTATCAGTGTGTTTGTTTTTTTCCCCTCCCTTGGATGAAGGGTGACCTGTAGACGAACATGTTACTGAGATTACAATGGAATGAAATAACATTTTTTGGATTATTATATAAGTGAATGGTCAGAAAGATAAGATTTGATCATCTCCCAATAAGTGTTTTTCCCTGGGTGCTTTTGTGGGATAATTTTTAGCAACACTTGGAACTAGTAGGTCAGCAAAAATCTCAATGAGTCACTACTTCGTTTGATTAGGCCTCTAACTAGATTAGTCAGACATTCACTGTAGCTTTGTTTTTGAGTCGGCATGTTAGACTTGATATTAAGCAGTGGTATTTGTGCATTTTCATTGATTATATTTGGTGATTTTAGAAACGAGTCTTCCTTTTTGGGTGTGGGGTAGTATTTTTCCTCTCACTCTAAAGGCTTACAGAACCGGTAATGCAAGTATTTCAGTTGTATGGACAGCCTGCCTTCACGTTGCTTTTCACTTAAGAAATAATATTTAATATGTTCATAATACATATGTTAAACTACATGTTTGTGTTTACTGAAGTCCACCTGGTCATAAAGCACTCCCACTGCCTTTGAGATGGTTGTATGTTATATATAGTTTTTCCTCAAACATGTGTTTAGGCTATCAAGTTAAAGGTTGTTTTTTTTTCTTGATTGCCTATTGGATAATTGTGATTGCCCTTATACAGATTAAACTTTTATAGAGCTGCTGGTTTCAGTATTAAATCAATATTTAAACGTGTTGTAGGTAGTGTCTGTATGTTTGTTTACGCTGTGGTTGTGGGTCCATCACTGTAAAAGGGTTGTGAATGTTACCTGAGAATTGTTGATAGGTAAATATCTCCACACCAACAAAGGTCAGAATTTGATATAGTACGTTTCTTTTATGAATGCTTCAGTTCATTAGACTACTTTTGTTTAACTTTATTTTTTTGTCTCCTCCTCCTTCGGTCTATATTTTCTTTGTTCTGTCCAGGCTGTCCTCAGGTGGGGCGGTAAGCGGGTGGTGTGGAGCAGGCCGCGGTGCCCGTCCCTCTGCACTGCATGGCTGCGATGGCGCCCGCTCTCACCGACGCCCCAGCCGAAGCTCACCACATCCGCTTCAAACTGGCTGCCCCATCTTCAAGTCTCTCACCGGCCAGTGCAGAGAACAACGGTAACGCCAGCAACATCCTTATCCACAGCAGCGGCCCCGCCAAGTGTAAAGCCGCCTCCGAAGAGTGCCCTCTTGACTTTTGTGGCGGCGACCAGGAACAGCAGCAACAGCAGCCCCAAGCCGACTCTGTGGCTCAGGCCTCGGCCCTGGGCAAACTCCAGCCTCTGGTGGCTTCTTACCTATGCTCTGATGTGACACCTGTCCCGTCAACTAAGGAGTCAATAAAGCTGCAAGGAGTCCTCATCAAACAGTCTGTGCTAAAAGGTCACAGAATACTGCCCAGCTCCCTGCTCAACGGCGGAGGAGACTTCCTGTTGAGGAAGAGGCAGGCGATAGAACTGTCTGGCGGCCAGCTCAAAAGCCTCATGAGTGGCAGCACCAACGGCGGTGGCCAGCCCATGGCACCTGTCAATGGTCTGGCCAAGAAGCTGGCCACTATGTCCGGCCCTGGCTGTGTGGTGGCAGTGAATGGTGACAAGTCTTCTGCCACCACAGACTCTCAGTCCCAGAACCTGCCCTTGGACTCTGAGACCTTTACAGCTACCCTATCAGGGCTTATCCCGGTGAAAGGAACCCTTAAGCAGAAGCATTCCTCTGGGGTTTCTCAAAATACAGATGGAAAAAATCCTGAACCACCAGTGCTTCAGTCGGCTGCACATTCCCCCTTTACACATGACAACCCTAACCCCACTGAACAGGTGAATTTGGAGGAGGCAGATTCACACATGCCTACTAGTCAGCCACAGGGTTCTGATAGGGAGAGACCAGGTAGCAGCCAGCAGGGCTCCCCGTCTTGCACAACAGCACCACAGCCTCCTCTACCCTGTAGTTCTTCCTCAGACAGCCTTGATGCTCACATTAGGGAGCGCACCCTTCTCAACAGCAGCCGCCAAACAGAGATTGAAAGCCGGCTGCGGCGCCTGCGCAAACGCCTTCAGGTTGTACAGGCCAAGCAGGTAGAGCGGCACATTCAGCAGCAGCTGGGTGGCTTCTTGGACTCGGCTCTCAACAGGCTACTGGCTGGCAACCGCAAATCCGAGACCGCAACCCCTACAGCTACGTGGAGGACTGGACGCCACTCTTCCTCTAACAACAGAGACAGCCTCAGTCGCTTCCTGAAAAGCGGCTCAATGCCCCTTGAACTGGAGAGGCTGTATCTGAGCGGATCAGCCAACCTTCATTCAGCAGAAAGCGCCTTTGACTCAGATGTAACAGAAAGTAGCTCTGGAGGGGACTCTGATCTGGAGGAGGAGGAGCTGGCCAGAGTTGACATTGAGCAGCGACATGTCAAAATGTAAGTAACAGTGCCCACACCCGCTGAGACATCAAGCTTATTTAGGGCTGTACATATGTACATAGCCCTGCAGTAGAGGGGATTTCACAGCTAAGGCTCAAGTTGAATGTTGAGAGCCCAGTTCATGTGAAAAAAGGCTCCATAGTGAACCTGCACAATAGGATTCATTAAGAGTCAACCATATTGTTCTGGTACCCTTTGCCCCATGCCAAAGTAACATTACTCTCACATTTCCATGGTGCCTGAAGCACTTCAACAGCCCTGTGAAAGTCCCTGTATTTCTAGGCCCTGCAATATGCTACCCAAGCCTAGCAGGTGCTAATGACGATTATAACTGCCAGGTCTGCCTCAGAAGTGGTTGGGTCAAACTCCAGGGAGGGGTAGAGATACCATTTGCCCAGAGAGCATGTGCAGTCGTGTGGGTGGAATCATCCTGTGGCTAACGCACAGGGTTGTACGGACTCAAAAGTAAAAAGCTCTCTCATCAGTCACACAGTGCTTCCTCCTGAGAGGGCCAAGGCTGAAACCGAACCTTCTGTTTATCTGCGCAGCGAACAAATGAGCGCCCACAGAGCCAGTGAATGCTTTTATTTAAACTGAAACCAAGAAGAAACGTAGAGTTAAGGTTGGTTGTGGTTTTTGCTGAAGGTGTGGGTTTAATGTTTTTACATGCTGCCTGTTGTGATGTCAGGTTTGGCTCAGCAGGAGACTGCAAGTGTATTCCATGGGAAGCTCACACCAAAGTACTCAGCTCTGTGTCATTAGTGTGTGTGAAAAGAAAGGGGAAAAAAATACAGCAGCGTTAATGGACTTACTGACCTGTGTAGGATTGAGTAAATTATTAACAGCGTAGCTAAGAACACTGATTTTTATTATCCTTCCCTTTGTTGACTTTAGACCCTTGACCTAAATATCTTCATAACCCAACAGGAAGTGCGAGTGTGTTACATGCATCATCCAAAAGCAGAGAAATTGCTTGTAATGTATTCATACTGTGTCTTGTGCCATTTAAGGTCAAAGGAGGTATTAGAGCAGTTTAGTATAGCATGTCATGTCCAAGGAAAATGGACAGTGAGCTACATCCCATTCGGTGTATATTGTTTTAGAGCTTAAATTCTCAAAACAAAATTCTACAGTTTTCTTCTTTAAAACCTGAATATTGTGTGAATTTAAAACATTTTCAGTGCTTTTGTTTTCAGATAATGGAGACAAAATCACTGAAGTGGTAATATAGTATTAAAATATACAGGTAATTATGTATATATGTGGTACATGTTAATGATTGATGTAACTTTTTAGTGTTAAAATTACACATAGAGGCAATACAAGCCTTTCAACTGATAACCAAAAAGCAGGGCTGAATTTGGATAAAAGCCCTACCATAGCAGTATAGTTTTACTATATGGGTAAACTTAAACTGTTCATTAATTAATCAGATAAATATTTATCTCAATCTCAATAGAACATGTAATTTTTGGCACCACATCACGATAAAAGTCCTTTTTATTATTTATTATCTCTGGAGACTGAGTCAGATCTAATGAGTTTTTTTTGTTGTCATGGAGTCAGTTGTTCAATTATTTATTAATTATAAGTAAATTATCAATGTTATTAGATCAAATGTGCATCCCCAATTTTAATTAGTATAATATGTTGTAATGAAAGTGAAATATATTGTAGGTGCTTTCCACAATTAGCATATCCTCTAGAATACAAGGAATATATTGAATTAGTGTTATTTGTTTATCATGAATGAGATTTTTGAAAAGGTTTACTACAGAGGCAACATTTTACACAACCATTAGGGATATAATGATTCCATACACTGTCATTCTGAATTTGGCAGGCACCAAGACTATTTATTGTGTGTTTACAACACTTACCAAATAATCATAAATATAAATGCCATACTAAGGAAAATGAGTTAAGACTTGATTAATTGCAGGCCATAATAGTGTTAATGAAGGGTGGGATCAATTTATAGTTGAGCATAGGGTGTAACCCTTTATCGTGGCACCACATCAGCACATTTGATTGTGACTAGGGCTGCAAGTAACGACTATTTTGATAGTACTGAATTGCAAAATTACAAAATGCGTCTTATTTAGCTATCAGCTTTTAAATTAAACTTGAGTTTGTTTTAGGCATGTGCTAATTAACAGTTAAAACAAAAAAATAAATACTGCTCTCAAAAATGCATCTTTTCATGAACGTTTCGGCTGCAGCAACAGAAAGGTCCTCTGAAATGAAGTCCTGATCTCGGCAGCTGATCTGCTGTTTAGTGACTGAGCAGTTTACACGCCAGTACTGCAACACCCCGGGACAAACTGACACCACATACAAAGAAAGGAATAACGTCATGCATTACATTTGCCGAATTTACGGGGGGTCAGTAATTATTTATTAACGATTTTATAGTAGACCGTGCTTTACAACGTTTATATATTTTCCCCTAACTCAACAACTCACAAAACTCAGATTTTTTTTAAGGGAGTTTCGGACGGCTTAGCCACCGCCTCACGCATTGACAGGAGAAACATTTTCTCTTCTTTAGAAAGTATGAAATTGTCCGGTGTTGTCTAATCTTGTGCACTCATACAGCAGCAACACATTCTCCAGCAGGGAACGTCGCCATGAGCGATGCATCGTTTGTGATTGTAAAGTCAGGGCACATCTGGAATGTGAACGCGGCCATTGTGTATCATAAATGTGCTCTCAGCGCCATTAAAAATCAATCAAATTGTCCAAAGCAAACTATAGAAAACGTCACAGCTCATAGCGTGAAGTAACACAGCTTTAATGGGAAGCTAGCGAACTAGTTTACCGAGACGAGTCTTCATCATCCACAGAGCAACTACGTTACGCGCCTCCAGATCAGATGCTCCGGTGTTTCCAGGAAAACTCAGCTTTGCAGACGCTGCAGTTAATGACCTTTTTGGCTGAGTGAAGAGTGAAGTGCTGCCACACTCTGGAGGTTTTAGGTGGTGACGGTGTTACTGCAGCGCTGATGTTGTTTTAGTAACTTTACTGTTCACATCACTTTAGTCCGTTAAGTTGACGGTGTCGTTACGGCCCGATGACGTCATGAACTAATCGATTATTAAATTTGTTGCCAATGGACTTAATAATCGTTTTTTGTCGATTAATGGTTGCACCCATAATTGTGACGTACATTATCAGACAGTGCAACAGAATTTGATAGTTTCTATTCTGTTGTTATATTCAAAAGAAACCATCTGTGGTTGTTTGCTTAGCCTAAATAGACCAATCATATTTCTCGCAGCTTGTGAACTATTTTAGTACTACCTACATGTAGTTGAGAAAGGATCTGAAAGGTGCTGAGGTGTCATTCGTCTTTTAATGTAGGCAAAGAGCAGCTAGCTCAGTATATTATGGTAACAAGACTGCTGGCTTGCTCATTAGTCATCACTGCCTTTATCTCTAATCTCGACCAAGCTCCCTCTAATGTCCTTAAACAGGTAAAATTACTACTAGCTAACATCTCCTCATTCTGAGCTGCACTAAATCTGCTGTTTATAGCTAACATGACACATCTTGTTCCTGCTTTACCGTGTGAGATGTTATTGTAAAGCAGGTACAGTAGTTGTTAACTGCTGCTAAAACCTCGGTGTAAAAAAAGGTCTGAAGGTATTAAATAAAATAAAGTAAAAGATGAACGTGATGACTGTGCGAACACGAAACCTCCAACACAAATGGTATATTCAGTTGCTTTTGTACGCATTGAAAACACTCGAGTTATTGTATGTCCATAAACTACAGCATGTTCAAAAACTACTATTTTACTTTCAGAGTAAATTCCTTGTTTCTTGCTATACCTGTTGAAACAAACCTGCCAGACTACAGGTGTATTCACAGTATTTTATACAGATGTAGTTACAGATAACTATAATATATTTTGTGCTTTTCGTTGTGTGTGTGTGTGTGTGTGTGTGTGTGTGTGTGTGGCTTATTTAAATATTCTTTAGTTATAAGACACAAAAGAGTCAGTAAGCTTTGAACTAACTTTTATAGTAAATCTAGTTGACTGGGGGGAAATGCACTGATTAATCATTAACTATGATCAGTAGATGCAGACTCACATAACCGCCTATCGGAGTAACCCACACCTGAGCACACTAAACTGGTTCAGCAGTGTGTTATAAGGGCACAAGAGTTTTGTTGACCTGTGTTGCTTGCCATAGAATACAGTAAAAATTAAGCTTTTTAGGTAAAACAAGCTCAGAGAGCTACGTTAATATGCTCAGATGTTCTTGAATAATCCATGTGTGAAAGTTTTAGTGCTGCCACGAAAGCACCTGTTTCTCACAGGTTCTCAACTGTTTGCCAAGCGGTAGCACATGTAAGCCTAATAATTCTCTGTACACTGAGTGAAAGCTGCGTGGAAATCTAAAACCGTCCATCTGTAATGCCTTTTTTCAAGCAGCCGTCTGATGCACATTGTATAATCATGCATCCCACAACAAGTGACAAACCGATTCTCAGCTCCCAGCCCGGCAGAGGAGAAACTGTACCTCTATTGTGAACAAGTCTTCCAGGAATAGGGTGTGTGTGTTTTTATATACCCATAATGCCACATTTTCACAACGGACACCTGAGTTACCAATTAATGGCTTACAGCGCAGTAGTCACTACACTACAGACGACAGTGTGATGTCCTCTTCAGGCAGCAGCACCTCAATTATTTAACGTCAGCTGAGTTGACAGCAGTGTGGAAAATAACCTATTTGGGCTGCTTGTTTGGATACAGCTCTTTGCTTGGAACTAATCCTGTCATCCCTGCCTATACTGTAGACGTGGTTTCCCGTATCTTAGGGGATTGGGGGCCAGCCAACATCTGTTGTCGTGCTTATGCTGCAGGGCCTTTCTTCTCTGGTCTCTGTGTCCGTCTCTGAACGTGACGTCCATAACGGCCTCTAACAGGGTGTGGGTGCTGCTAGCTTCGGAAATGAAGTCTGGTCTCATACTAGCTGTAAAACTGA